GAAAGATAAATCTGCTAAAACCCCTGTTTGGAAAAGAGATAAAACCTTAGCACCCTCAGATCACAGTTTGGAATGATTGAGGAAGGCAGTTTCACCAGGTAAACAAGATAAACAGGAAGCAATGGACGAGCTCATGAAGATCGTGAAAGACATGTCTTGTAAAATATCTCAAGGCTTTGAACAAACAGACGAGCCAAGTCCATTGAAACGAGCATTAATAAGCTCCAACCAAATCCATTGAAACGAGCATTAATAAGCTCCAAGATCAAGTTTCAGGGATGACATGGGAGCTGAAAGATGTTAAATGAAAAGTTAAAGAGCTTCTTGCACCACCTCCTTTATCTTCTTGTGTTTGTTCTGTGCCCTCAAGTCCGAACTGACTTATGGAGACCCTAATAGGCCTTTCAGGGTAAGTGAGATATTTAACGAGTGGCTTTACCAGTTCTACTCCCTCAGTGAGTTTCCATGGCCAAGTGGGGATTTGAACCATGTTCTCCAGCCTTAATCTGCCTCACCCTTATCCACTACACCACACTGAGCATCTTTATGTTCTTACCTGCTAAATTTTTTGCCTCTTGAACCACAAGCATTCACATCCACACGTGCGTGGACATATGCAAAGGACAGTGGATTTGCACAAAACCTACAATTTGGGAAGCTATGTTGAAAATTATTCAGAACACCTTGGTATGCTTACATGTTATGCTTACATATCATGCTTACATTACTGTCCTGTGTTCACTGGGATGATCAGGAAGGTGTGTGTGGGGGGGTGTTAGTCTATTTGCAGTGAATTATAGTATTTCTGAAATGAGAACAGTACAGTGGTACCTCAATTTACGAACTTAATCCATATTGGAACGAAGTTCGTACGTCAAAAAGTTTGTAAGCCAAGGCAAAATTTCCCCTAGGAATGCATTGAAAACCATTTAATCCATTCTAGCTGTTTTTCGTTCTTATGTTGAGGTGCTGTTCGCAAGTAGAGGCATTAGTTTTCATAGGAATTAATGCAAAGCCGGTTAATCCATCCTCTACCACCGGGGGAGAATTTTTTTTATTTTTTCTTCTTTTGACCCAAGATGAACTTAGGTCAAAAAAAAAAAGGGCAGGAAAGTTTTTTTTCATTCGTAAGTCGAAGCTCGGCTTGCAAGTCGAAGCAAAAATTTTGCGAACGGAGCTGTTCATAACTCAAAATGTTCGTAAGTCGAGGTACCACTGGTATGTCACATTTTGCCCGAAGTATCTCTTGTCGTAGACTGTGCTCTTTTCTGAGCTTACTGCTTATGCCTCTGTTCTCTACCACCAAGTCAGCAACTCTGATAGGGCTTCCAAGGTAAGTGGGATATTTAAAGAGTGTTTTTACCAGTTACACACCTGGGGGGGGGGTGTTTCCAAGTTGAACAGAGATTTGAACCAAGGTCTCACTAATCTGTCTCTCAATCCACTGTCCTCCACTGGGTATCCCTGCTACTTATGGGAAAGCCAAACACACAAACTTAAAATGACTGCTTTATTGTGTTAATACATTCCCACCACACTGGATCCAGCACACTCCGCGGCAGACGAGCCCGACTCAGTCACCAACGCTTTCCCCAAGGCCACCTCCATCCCAATCGACTCTTCACCTCTCATAACTCCATTATTTCTCTTTTCCTTGTTAATTTTTTTCCTTTACAATTTGCCCCAAGTGTTCTTAAGATACATAAAGAAATGGAAGAATTGCTGGTTGAGGATCCCCACAGCTTGTTTCTTCTGCTGGTTCCTTCATTGTGAAACCTTCAATGTCCAAAATGCTAAGGATGATTTTCATGTACTAATATTTGGGTAAAATATGTATTATTTGGACAAATAGGAACAATAAAAAGTAGAGAGGAGCTGCTCAAAATACGCTTCCTGTCACATTCATCTGTATGTTAAAGTAACTGTTGAAGGATACAAGGAGTTACCATGCCCACCCTGGGCTCAAGATGGTTTCTTATCCTACCTTTTAATTTTCAATAGCTGCTTTCGCAAACCTGGTAACCTCCAGATGTGTTAGACTATGGTTATCATCATTCCCATTCAACACAGCAAAGAATGGCTGGGAATGATGGGAACTGTAGTCTAACACAGTGGTTCTTAACCCTTGTTACTCGGATGTTTTTGAACTGCAACTCCCAGAAACCCCAGCCAGCACAGTTGGTGGTGAAGGCTTCTGGGAGTTGCAGTCCAAAACTCCTGAGTAACCCAAGGTTAAGAACCAGTGGTCTAACACATGGAGAAAGCTACTGTGTGGATACATGAGGGCATATGAAACAGTACAAAAACCTGTTTCACTCCCTCCTTTGAAGTACAGAGAGAAGGGTCTGTTTCATCTCCATTTCCATTATTTCATTTAAACAGGCAAAAAGAGCAAGTTACTTGCACTCTCCACAACCGTCATGCATGGCATGTTTAGTATATTTAAAACTTTTGAACTTGCACGGAACTTAGGCGGCAGAACTCAAATATGCTTCATCAAGATCACAAGACCAACATACCCTCTAATTTTCAGCCCCACTGGGCAGGGCTCTGCCTCTTGCATGTGCGACCTCCCCTCTGTCTGTCTGTCTGTGTCTCTGTGTCTTTTTTGAGTGCTAAACTTCATTTGCAGTCAGGACCAATGGTTACTTGACTATAACAAGTTCCAATGTTTGTCAACTTGACATATTAAAAACTGAAGGCTCGACACAGTTCCGTGGTGAAGTTCATGCTTTACGTACATAAGATCCCTGGTTCAGTCTTCAGTATCTCCAGGCAGGGCCAGGAAACTCTGGAGAGCTGCTAATATCCAGCAGGAGGGAGTTTCCTATGTTCCCTGGTGTAGGAAACGCTAAGAGTCCTTTTTCCTGGCATCTAATGTTCTATAAATGTGGATTTATTGCTGTTGTTATGAAGGATAGCATCCAAGATAGCCTGAAATGTGTTGCAGCCTGAAGCAAAGGACAATATGGCACTGCTTCCTGTTCCATGTACAGAAGCAGACCAGACTGGCACATATACTGGTGATCAGGCAGCATCCTTTAACACCATCAAGACAGCAGGCTAGCTTTAGGGGCTGCAGGGTGGGTCATAAGTTAAATTGGGAAAGCTACTTTTTTCATCCATAACTCCCACAGATGCTGGGAGCTGTAATCCAAAAAAGTACCCTTTCCAAGCTTTGCTCCTAGGTAAAATTCATCTCTGTCCTCCAGTACTGTATTGATGCTCCATACCTCAGCATCCTCAACCTAAGGCAACCACCTCACTTTGCCTAATGGTATAGTTACTCCTCACCATTCAGCTATGCAACTTCCCACCTGCGGTGCATAGGAAGTAAAGCAAAGTGTGCTGCTTATATATCGCCCCACAGTGCTTAAAGTACTCTCTGAGCAGTTTATAATTTAATTATTCAGGTTACAGATTGCCCCCCCCGGTCAAAGCTGGGTACTCAGTTTACTGACTTCAGAAGGACGGAAGGCTGAGTCAACCTCAAGCCAGCTACCTCAGCCCATTGGATTTAACTCAAATCGTGAGCAGAGTCTTGGCTTGCATTACTGCAGTTTAACCACTGTGCTACAGGGCTCCTTCAAGGTACAGTCAAGGAGCTGTGGGGACCTGTTCTATTTTAGATCATCAGTTTGCCTCACAGGAAAATCAAAACTTGTAATCGAGCAGAAGCTGTTTGTAATATATTTTGAGATTTGCTTCAAGTTCCACGTATCTGATGCCAAGAGACCTTTTTTTCTTTTCAAAATTCTCAAAGCCATGGCAGCTGACTCTACCCTAGAGGCAGAGGAAAATAAAGAGGCAAAATTTGAAGAAAAATTACATTGTGTCAGGATTCATTAAGGCTTCGGATGGCCTGATCAGCTGAGACTTTTCTCACTGACACCACAGTTTAAGGGCAGCACACATCAAGGAAGGCTAAGTGCAGGACAGAGCGCTGAGAGGGAGGGAGCTGCTAAAGCTGCACCGGGGGGCGGGAATAGAATAACTAACCATCCCTGCTTCAGTGCTCTTCTGAAGACTGGTGGGTTCCAGATGAATGTTCCATCTCCCTCAACTGCTACTTCCAGATGGACTGGATCATGCCAATCCCACCCTCATCTGATTTATTCGGTGATACAGAAATCCTTCATGAGGGAATGGCAGAAATGTACTTTCAGAACCTACATATTCCAGAAGTGCTACAACTCACAATTACGCTGTATAAGGCCAATACATGCAACTTCCTTGTGAGGCTTGGCTAAAAGACATTTTGCTGCCCAAGGTGACAGCTAAGGTTCCTTGTACTTGAATCCTGGTGTGGGGAGGGGATAATGTTTTCTGGTGCACCTGAGGTAGGAGGACTGTTTGGGGAGGCAGGAAAGGACTAGTTGTGTGGCATACACACCTCTAACAGAAGGGGAATAGTCAGGGAGAGCGTAAGGAATAGTTAGCCAGTTGACACCACAGCCACCCAGCATCTGCTGCTTGAGGCCACTGGCTTACTTTGCCTAATGACAGGGCCATCTCCACTCCCTTGGCACGGAAGCTTCCTCTTTTCTCCTACAAAATGAGAAACAAGGCACAGCAAGATGATGTTGACTCCGGCTGCCGTAATTTAGAGTGGTGCAAGAGTGAGAACCCTCTTGAAGAGCATCCACCCATCTGCCCCCAGAACTTAGGCTGCTTCCAGCAGCAACTCCCAAGGCACTTGGAAACAGACAAGGGGGCAGGCTCAGCATGGAACCCATACCCCCCCCCATGGTGCCTTCAGAGTCAAACATTCCTCCCCTTTCTTCCATCACCCCCACACATGCCAGCCTCCCGTGGAACTAAGCTTAACTAACTGGCAGTGAAGCCTCGGGTGGCCAAATGGCTAGATACAGCTTTGAGGAGGACTCAGACTTTTGAATATTCCTCCAAGATCAAAACTGCACATACACAAACGAGTGAACAGTTCCTCACTGCCCTCTACTTCCCGGCTTCTTCACCACCACCATCCCTTGCAATCAAAACAGAACATACACAAAAGAGTGAAGAGTTCCTCACCGCCCCTCCTCTACTTCTCGGCTTCTTCACCACCACCATCCCTTGCAACATCTTCTCCCTTTCTTCCCCTCACACGTTCATCCCCAAAACACCTTGGCCAGAAATGTCCCCATGGTTCTCTGGGCAATGGCAAGCCCTGCTTCTTTCAGTCAGAGGTGAAATCCTGGTGGGCCATCCAGGGGTGGGTTTACATTCATCAGTAAACAATCTGTTAATAAATATATATCAGTGGTTCTGTTGTGTCTCTGGAGGTGGACAGCACAGTGCGACGCTTCAGGGGCGTGAGGCTGGGTTATGGGAGGGAGAGGGAAGGGGACAAATAACCCGCCTACTGAGAAAGAGTTTTGAGCAGGGTTTCCATCCATGTGAGACGCCGATGGCTGAGCACCGGTAGAAGCTCCAAGGCTGGAGGGCATCTCGGTGCTCAGGTAATACCTTGGTAGCTAGTAGAGCCATTCACAACAGGGCGAGAGGAACTACGGCCCCTGTGGCGCAGGGCCATCTGGTACACTGCTTTTCAGTTCACTTGGTCCTTGGAGACTGGTGCCCCGTCTTTGGTTGTGCATTATGGAAGAGGCCAGGGGTGTAGAAACCCCGACTTCTGTTGGGCCTTGTTGCTGTATGCCAGGCTTGAAAAAGTGGCAGCTAGACTGCTAGGATAATGGTGACACATCCCCTACAAACTATGTATGAAGCAAAACTCAGAGGAGTATGGGGCAGGGTGGAAGGAAGCTGCCGTCTCCAAACTACAGAAACCACCCACAGTCCTGCTCTCTTTTTCTCTCCTCCTCCTCCCTCCACTCCTTTCCCCATACTCCCCATATTCGGCTGCTCTAGTCCCTTCCCAGCCACACAGTTTGTCCAGCCATCCACCTCGTAGGTCACCATACATCTATGCTCCGGGGTCCCCTTTCTGCACGGGGAACCTCATGTGTTCTCCGGCTGCGGGCTTTCCTCTTCTCCTCCAGGTGCTTCCACTTGTGGTTCTTGGCCTTGACGCTAAGAGGAGGGGGCAGCGGTGGCTTCTTCTTTGGCTGGTGGCTCTTGCGGCTCCAGAGTTGCTCACACACCTGGTCCATGGTGCTGAGGTTGGGATGATCTACCAACTGTAAGAAGTCTTGGTACCAGAGCTTGCGATGGAAGGGCTGTGTGGGCTCCTCCTCCCGGGAGATGGACAGGGAGTCAGCTTGCTGGGCATAGATCACTTCGAACCGGAGGTGCAGCAGACTCTGGGTAAAGCCATGCTCTGTGGCATAGCAGTGGTAGAGGCCAGCATCTTTGCGCTGTACACTGCGCAACAGGACGCCCCGTTCCATCCTGATGACACGTTCATCAAACAACACCTGGGGTTACCAAATACAAAGAGAGGGATTTGAGAAAAAAATGATGTAATGGAGGTCAAGACAGGTAGGGAATCAGATGGGACAAGGAAGAACAACAATTTGGGAATTAAAGGGAGGATGATTTCATCATCAGCGTGATCCATTCTACAAGGAGGGATTTGAATTGGACAGAGAATCTGATCAATGGGGGCCAGAGCTTCATGGCCTGGGTATCACATGGGAGGCAGGAAGGGTGCCTGGGGTGGAATTTCCCCCTGAGGAGAAGGTTCAGGCAGCTCCAGGGTCTTGGCATCGCTTAATTCTGTCAGGCTTGATTCCAAATTGCTTACATTTGCTTGTTATGCACCCAGCAGCCAAGCTCATACCTCCTTCTGTGGGGCACTGCTGGTTTTCTGGTATGTCCACACAATCTGAGCCTGCAGTGACCTAGGGAGGCACTCCAGGAAGGCACTGCTACCTTCTACTCCGTACAGCTTCTTTTCCTGCACATTGTTTCGCTGGGAATCTGCACAGAAACAACAAGGGATTATACATGGGAACAGAATAGGATTGTCAGCAATACAGGCAAGATCTTATACTACAGCCCATCTCTAGAGGCCAAGGTGGCTAAAACGGTTCTAGTTCTTGGTGGGTAAGAGTATGGATTCAGGGACACATCCCAGCTATATGTGATAAATCTACTCACTCCGGATTAGGAGACTTGTGGATGGAAGAGAGAATTACTCCACAGGGATGGGAAGATATAGAATTTGATTGACCATGAAGTGAGCAGTTAAGCCTTGAGCCTATTCTGCTGCTTAAACATGGATTCCACTCAGTGGACTAGTACTTCTGGAATCATAGAACGGTAGAGTTGGAAGGGACCCTGAGTCATCAAGGCCAATCTCCTGCTACCATGGGAGATCCCAGCTGAAGCATCCCTTAGCCTAGTCACCCAACCTGTGTTGGAAAATCTCAAATGAAGAAGGTCCACCAGCTCCCAAAGCTATCTGTTCTGCAGCGGAATAGCTCTCACCATCAGGAGGTTTCTCATAATGTCCATCTGAATATACCTTTCTTGTAATCTCAGACCACTGGATCAAATCCTATCCTCTGGAGCAGCAGAAAATAATCTGGCTCCATCTTCCACATGATGGCCCTCCACAGATTGGAAGACGGTCATCATACAGATGCTTAGCCTTCTCCAGAATGAACACACCCAACTCCCACAACTGTTTCTCAGCAGTATCATCCTCCCACCTTCCTATTTGATAACCTGGTGCGTGCAGATGAAAATGTTTCCAAACTTTTGGGGAGCTACATGTACAAGAAGAAGAAGTAGACAGAAGGCACAAGACCCCTGCTCATCCTTTATTTACTCCATGTCTGGGTAACAACAGGTTGCCCACCTGTAATTGTAGTTCTTCGAGTGAACCTCTGTGATTCACACCCTGGATAATCTGCGCCTGCGTGGACCCTTGCCGGAAGATTCTAGAGCTTCTGTGGTAGCAAAAAACCCCCACATTATTGTAGACTCCTCCCCCTCCGTATATATACCTTGGCGCCAAGGCTCTCCCTTCAGTTATGTCAACTGCCACGTAATAGAGCTGCATGGCGTGAAAGTGGGGAGGCCGGGTTGGGATATGTGAATCACAGAGGTACACTTGCAGAACTACAATTACAGATGAGTAACCTGTTCTTCATGGCCTATGTGAATCACACCCTGGGTGACTAACAAGCTGTCTTACCTGGAGGAGGGTGTCACGTCAAGGTAGAAGCTAGCACAGCACATCCAAAGGCCACATCAGATTTCTGATGAACATCCAACCTATAGTGTTTGATGAATGTGGACAGTTGTGACCATGTTGCAGAGGTGCAAACATCTGGAAGAGGAACGCCATGAAGAAATTCCGTGGAGTTTGCCATTGCCCTAGTGGAATGAGGGCAAATCATCTGAGGAGCTGGCCTTCAAGCAAGCTGGTATGCCAGGTGGATGGTAGAAACAACCCATTTGGAGATTCTTTGTGATGTCACCTGAAGACCCTTCACAGGAAGTTGGTAGCTGACGAAAAGTTGAGCTGAATACTGGAAGGGTTGTGTATGGGCTAGGTAAAATGCTAGGGCTCGTCTAACATCCCGAGTATGAAAGATTCTTTCATGAGCAGTAGACGGAGAAACAACCCATTTGGAGATTCTTTGTGATGTCACCTGAAGACCCTTCACAGGAAGTTGGTAGCTGACGAAAAGTTGAGCTGAATACTGGAAGGGTTGTGTATGGGTAAAATGCTAGGGCTTGTCTAACATCCCGAGAATGAAAGATTCTTTCATGAGCAGTAGACGGAGATGGAAAAAAGGATGGGAGAACCAATGGTCGGGACATATGAAACTGGGAAACAACTTTGGGGAGAAAGGAGATATCTACAGACAACTTGACCTTATCTGCAAGTTCACTGGCACGACGAGCGAATGTGATAGCAACAAGGAATGCCATTTTAAAGGTAAGTAGTCTAAGATCAACCGAAGCTAAGGGCTCAAATGAGCCCTCGGTGAGCTGCTGCAAGACTATCATTAAAGACCACTGAGGTGAAGGTGGATGCACATCTGGATACATGTGCGATAAACCCTTTAGGAAATGCTTCAGAGTAAGGTGTCTGAAGAACTGAGCTGCTGCAGAGGTTGGTGGTTGATAGGAAAGAATTGCAGAGAGGAAAATCCTCAAGGAAGAAAGGGAGAAACGCTTGGTTTTTAGATGAAGCAGAAAACAAAGGATGGTGGAGAGAGAAGGGTTAATTGAAGGAAGTGCAGAGGTTTCAGTAAAGGACTGGAGTTTCTTCCACTTGTACAATAAGCTCTCGTGGTTGAGGGTTACTTTGCCTGACGGAGGACATTTATCAGGTAGGCAGAATCCTTCATGCTGCCAGATGAAGGGCAGGTAAGTCTGGGTGGAGAATTTGAGTTTTGTTCTGGGTGAGCAGTTTAGGCAGGTGATGGATGTCTGATGACAGGGTGTGTAGAACTGGGAATCAAGTTTGTTGCGGACACCATGGAGCTATCAAGATGGCACTGGATCTGTCCTGTTGGAGCCGGACTACCACTTTGTGGAGGAGCGGAAATGGTGGGAACAGGTAAGTAAGGGTCCTGGGCCAACAGCCTATGAATGTGTCTCCACGTGAGTGCTTGCCGACTCCTGCACAGGAGTAGTAGCATTTGCACTTCCAATTGTCTGGGAAGCAAAGAGGTCGATGGTGGGCATGCTCCAGCGTTTGCAAAGAAGGGGAAAAGACAGACTGGTTTAGTTCCCATTTGTGAGCTTGGGATTCCTTGTGACTGAGGAGATCTGCCAGATTGTTGTTTTAGCCAGCTATGTGTATTGCTGTGAGGCAGATATTATCTGCCAGACACTATTTGCAAAGGTTGACTGCAGGAGGCTTGGAGAGTGGGCATCTCCTTGCTTGATACAATACCTGTAGTGTTGTTGGTAGCGATTTGTCCCTGAAAGCCTTGCATGCTTTTATCACTGCTAACAGTGATAATTGATGTGGAGCAATTTCTCCCTTTTTGACCATTGGGCATGGATCCTTAGGGATTTGCAGTGAGCATCCCAGCCAGTGAGACTAGCATCGGTAGTGACTTGTATTTGAGGATGTGGTTGTTGGAAAGGTCATCCCATTGTAATGTTGTGGGCAGAGTGCCACCAAGAAAGTTGGTTGGAGAGTTCTGGAGTGACCCTTAACAGGGTGTGAGGAGGATCCATTATTGGGTTGAAGAGGACAAGGAACCATGCCTGGAGCAATCTCATTTTGAGGTGTACGTGTTGCACTACAGATGTCATGGATGCCACAGTGACTAGGACATGCTGAAGCGCTAGCGCAGGTATGAGTGCATGTCGAATGAAGGCATGAAGCAAGAATATCAAGCTGTCTTGCTTGTCCATTGGGAAAAACGCTTGAGCATGAATAGAGTCTATGAGTGCCCCTATGTATTTAACTACTTTTGCAGGTTGTAACTTGGATTTTTGTATATTTACAAAGCCGAGATTGTGCAGAAGAGCTAGTGTGAACCTTTTGTCTTGTTGTGTCCTGAGATGGGAGCGAGCTACCAGGAGCCAGTCGTTGATGTACGGAAATATGTGGATATTGTGAAGTCTGAGGTAGGCCGCCACAGGCACCATACATTTGGTGAAGACTCAGAGCTGCTGTGAGTCCAAAGGGAGCCTTTTGAATTGATAGGCCTGAGATCTGAGCTGAATGCAGAGGTAAGGTCCGTGAAAAGGGTGAATGTATATATGGAAGTCAATGTCTGTTAAGTCTATGACTGTGAACCAGTTGTTTTTGTGGAGTAAGGGAAGAACAAACTCAAGGGTTACCATGAGAAATTTGGTCATAATGATGTAGCAATTTAATTCTCAGGTCAAGGATGGGACTCAGACCTCCATCCCTTTTGGGGACAATGAAATAATGAGAGAAAAAAAACGCTGTCAGTTTGATATACAGTGGCACCCCGCATAGCGACGTTAATCCATTCCGGATTAATCGTCGCTATGCAAAAACATCGCTAAGCAGATCGAAAAACCCCCATAGGAACGCATTAAACTTAGTTTAATGCGTTCCTATGGGGCCCAAACTCACCGTTCAGCAAAGTTCCTCCATAGCGCTTCCATTTTTGCGCCCTCGGTAAGCGAGGGCAGGGCGCGAAAACACTTGCGGCGGCCATTTTGGGCACTCGGTGGCCATTTTGGAACTGCCGATCAGCTGTTCTGTAAACAGTGGAGTAAGGGAAGAACAAACTCAAGGGTTACCATGAGAAATTTGGTCATAATGATGTAGCAATTTAATTCTCAGGTCAAGGATGGGACTCAGACCTCCATCCCTTTTGGGGACAATGAAATAATGAGAGAGAAAAAAACGCTGTCAGTTTGATATGGTGGCTCTATGGTGCCTTTGAAAAGCAAGGCCTGTATTTTGTCTTACAGGGTTTGCAATGGAGGTGTGACCGTGTGCACTGGTGGAGGAGGCTGAGGGAAGTGAATGAGGTAACCACTTCGGATGATGGAGAGGACCCAAGTGTCTGTGGTGATGGCTTCCCATGCAGGTAAGTGTTTCCGAAGGGCAGGAGGAGAAATGTGGTGTGTTGTAATCTCAGTCTGTTGGACGTCAAACATGATGCTTAGCTTTGCGATCACTGTGCCTGGTCGTGGTTTGTTGGCGTGGTTTGGCCTGGCAATTTTGTTTTTTGAAGTAGGGTGTATAAGAGGTTTGCCTCAGGTTCGTGATGGAACTTCTGGTAGGAGTTGTAGGGGCGCCTCCATTGAGTATGTTGGGGGTGTTGTTGGTATGAAGGGTAGACTCCCCAACGTCCAGCGGCTGATCTCTTTTTCTGGACATTTTCCACTATGGCGCATTTGAAAAGCAAGGCCTGTATTTTGTCTTGCAGGGTTTGCAATGGAGGTGTGACCGTGTGCACTGGTGGAGGGGGCTGATGGAAGTGAATGAGGTAACCACTTAGAATGATGGAGAGGACCCAAGTGTCTGTGGTGATGGCTTCCCATGCAGGTAAGTGTTTCCGAAGGGCAGGAGGAGAAATGTGGTGTGTTGTAATCTCGACTGGTTGAATGTCAAACATATGCTTAGCCTTGCGATCATTGCACCTAGTTGTGGTTTGTTGGCATGGTTTGGCCCGATAAGATTGCTGTTTGAAGTAGGGTGTATAAGGAAGTTTGCCTCTGAGGTTCCTGATGGAACTTCTGATAGGAGTTATAGGGGCACCACCATTGAGTACGTTGGGGGCGTTGCTGGTATGAGGGTCAGACTCCTGAAAGTGAGAGCTCTGATGTGGCACTGCCGTCGAATTGGGGAGAGGAACCGGCTGATAGTGCTTGGCAGGCTTATGGGTTGAGCACTGATGGGGGCAAATGGCTACCCGATGATAGTGCTGAGAGTGGGTCAATGCTGCACGCGAAGATCTGTTGCCGGTGCCACATGGCTGGTGCCCTTATGATAGAGAGTGGGTCAATGCCGCATGCAAAGATATGTTGCCGGTGCCACATGGCTGGTGCCCTTGATGACATGTTGGAGGCCGAGGTGGTAGGCCTGCTGGGGTGGAGTAGGACACAGTCTCCGGTTGCGTTTTGGCTCTTTGCATGTTGGGAGAAGCAACTGAGGAGGGCTCGCTCGGAAAGCCAGATTGCCAAGAGCTAGCTGGGAGTGGGTCAATGCCGCATGCAAAGATATGTTGCCGGTGCCACATGGCTGGTGCCCTTGATGACATGTTGGAGGCCGAGGTGGTAGGCCTGCTGGGGTGGAGTAGGACACAGTCTCCGGTTGCGTTTTGGCTCTTTGCATGTTGGGAGAAGCAACTGAGGAGGGCTCGCTCGGAAAGCCAGATTGCCAAGAGCTAGCTGGGGAGGATGTGAGTTGTTCCTTCCATTCTGGTGACTGTGATGGATATGGTTGATGAGACTGAAGTGCTTCTTCATCTGAGGGTGAACCCACGCATATGATTATGAGATTGAAGTGCTTCTCCATCTGAGGGTGAACCCACGCATATGAATGCCCCAGATTCCGGGAGCTGTGGGGAAATAACCTTTGGGGATTTCACTGAAACAAGGTTCTCAACGTGGTGGTTGAAAGAAAGTGAAGGGAGAGCCTTGGTGCCAAGGTACATATATGGAGGGGGAGGCGTCTACGCTGTTTTTTGTTTTGTTTTGTTTTGCTACCGCATAAGCTCTAGAATCTTCTAAAGAGGCTCTGCGCAGGCGCAGATTAGCCAGGGTGTGATTCACAGAGGCCATTAAGAACTTCTTCTTGGGGCACTTCTTAAATTCTGGCATCAGTTGCATGTGACAGAAGGAATGTGGCCTGGAGTGGGGAGCATGCTGGCATGTTATGGTGAGGAGAAAAAAATTACTTATTTACTGTGAGGTCAAAGGTAAAGGTTCCCCTTGATAATTTGTCTAGTTGTGTCCCATTCTAGGGGGCAGGGCTGATCCCTGTTTCCAAGCCACAGAGCCAGTGTTTGTCCGAAGACAGTTTCCATGATCACGTGGCCAACATGACTAGACACGGAACACCGTTAGCTTCCCACTGAGGTGGTACCTATTTATCTACTTGCATTTTTACATGCTTTCGTAGTGCTAGGTTGGCAGGAGTTGGGACAAGTGAAGGGAGCTCACTCTGTCACGTGGATTCAATCTTACGACTGCTGGTCTTCTGACCTTGCAGCACAGAGACTTCTGCAGTTTAACCCGCAGCAACACGGGACAAGCGACAGGAGCTCACTCCGTCGCGTGGATTCAAACTGTTGATCTTTTGACTTTGCAGCGCAGAGGCTTTTTGCAGTTAACCCGCAGTGCCACCACGTCTGTATCTAGCACTAATTCAGTGAAGAGAACTACACTGATTGGAGCCTGCCAAGACGGTTGTATAGGGATGTGGTGTTGCTGCGGGTTAAACTGCAGAAGTCTCTGTGCTGCAAGGTCAGAAGACCAGCAGTCGTAAGATTGAATCCACGTGACAGAGTGAGCTCCCTTCACTTGTCCCAACTCCTGCCAACCTAGCACTACGAAAGCATGTAAAAATGCAAGTAGATAAATAGGTACCGCCTTGGTGGGAAGGTAACGGTGTTCCGTGTCTAGTCATGCTGGTTACGTGACCACGGAAACTGTCTACAGAGAAACGCTGGCTCTATGGCTTGGAAACGGGAATGAGCACCGTGCCCTAGAGTCGGACACGACTGGACTAAATGTCAAGGGGAACTTTTACCTTTACCTAACATGGTTGTAAGTGTCAGCTGGGTGCAAATGATGCAGAATAGGGTGAGGAGGTGGATTAAGCACACTCACCTCCAGAGCACAAAGTATTTGGATCCCCGTTCCTCACGTCCTGCCGCCGGAACCGCCTGTCCGAAGGGAGGAAAAGAAAGAGTGGAAAGATTTTTCGGGATCCAAAGTGGGGAATTTTGCATGTCTGGGTTGGAGGCTCCTCCAAATTTTACGTGCAGAGACATGAGACTTTTTTTCATGGACAGGGGGCAGACAGGAAGAGATAGGAAGTGTTGCGTGTCCTCCTGCCAAAGCCTCACAGCACTGGGACCTTACACTTCACCACCACTTCTCCTGGATTGACAGATCCAGCTGAACGTGGTGGCTGAATATAGCTACATCTCCACAGGCAATGTGGTATGCCTCTGTCTCTTTGAGTGTCAGCAATATACCTGTCCAACAGTTTCACAAGAGAAGACTCTTCTGCAGGTAAGACTGGACAATGATAATGTGAAGCCCAAGATTTCATGCTGGGACAACATCATGGATATAGGTCCATATCTCTCTATCTTAGGGGGTGGACAGGTATAGCTCTCCAGGTGTGTTGGGATATGCCTCCCATAATTCCTTTCCACTGCCACAAGCTGTCCGCTTCAGCTCAAGGTTTTCCTTTGGATGCTGCTGCTGTTGACTCAAGCCCTGCTCTAAAGATACCAGCTGGATATGGTAGAATATTCTGCTCAACTGGATCAGAGCGGGCTGGCAGCCAACGACTGGGTGGCTCCAGGCATGACGAGGAGGCTCCATTCTCCCCTCCCCCTCATCCCACCTCATCCCACCCCATCCACCAGAGGAAGGCAAGCCTGGGTCCCATACCGTTTGGTGTTGTGCATGTAGCGGGTGCAGGTGGTGCCATCCCAGGCACAGTAGGGATCCCTTGCCAGGCAGCATTCTGCACAGGCCTTGCCATAGATGCCACAGCGGTGCAAAGGCAGCTGAGAGATGGATGTCCGGGAACCCAGGTAGAGCTGTTGCTGTCAGGGAAAACAAAGCCACACCACCCAGTTCAGCCACTCTGCTCAGAGTCTTCTGCTGACTCTTGTTTTGGAGTCGTGCATGATCCAGCTGACCGCTAGCTCCCTGCTGAGCCACTTGAGTCCAAGAGAGAGACTGCTCCCAGCCTTCCCGGAAGCAAAGGAAACCAAGACATCTCCATGGAATAGCTGGCTGGTAATTGAGCAATCCACACAGCACAGCACTGACCAATGGGGTAGAACAGGGCAGAAGCAATGGCAAAGTCTTCTTTCACTTTGCCTGCGAAGGTTTCTGCAGATGCAGAATCTTTCAAGAGAAGCTCCGTCTCCTGCTCCTGGAAGGGTGTTGCCCTGGGAACTGAGCATGCAAGCCTCCGTCAACTCTCTTAGGCATCACTGCAGTTATAGCAGGGCTGGGAAGTTGTGGGAATCCCTTTCCCAGCATGGCTAGTTGTAAGGAATGGTGAGAGTGTAATCCAACAACATCTGGCAGGTTAAGATCCCCCAGCCCTGAGTTAAACACTGAGAGAACCAAGGCCAGCTAGTGGGTGAGGGAAATCGTTAAGACTTCCAGAAACTCTGCAGAGCAATTGCTATCCTTCTGCCCAGGGAGGAGGGCAGAGTGGGGCTTGAACATAATGCTCAAGTATAAGAAACAGAGCTAGCCGTTACTTTCTAAATGAAGCAATTCTGTTGATTGTACCAATGCAGGGGGAAGGCTGCACCTTTTCTATTTAAACTAAGCAGAGACTGATGTCGTAGGATATTCTGAAGACGCTCTGGTGCTCCAACACCACCATAAGTCTAGAGTCTACATAAATGTTTTTGTTAAAAAAATTTACACACCCGTAGCCCACCTACTCTTCTGTCCAAATCTCTGTTCTGTTAAGTCTACCACTGCAAAATGCTTTGCCCCACAGCAATATTTAACATCTTGACTTGCTTAAGCTATTCCTAGGTTTGCTGTTTAGAGCAAAACAAACCTCCTCACTGCATTCAAACAGATATCCTCAGTCCCATTGTTATTGCATCTCCCTGCCAAAAGCCCTTGTGTTGTGCTACATACCCGCTTGGAAGAGATCTGCATGCTGGTAACTGGAGAAGGGTCCTGCCAATGAGAGGGGAAAAAAAGGAAAAATGATTCCTACTAAATTACTGAAAGGAAGTCAGTAACTGCAGGTACCCCCTTCAAGGATCATTCCTTGGCCATGAGGAATCCAGAAACTACATCAAGTCTTCCATCTTATTGCTCCTATTTTTCCAGGTGAAGTCCTGGAGGCAGCTGAGAAGCCTTGTGGAACAGTGTTTAAAAACTGCAGCACTGCAGTCAAGGCTCTGCTCACAACCTGAGTTTGATCCTGATGGGCTCAGGCAGCCAGCTCAAGGCTGAGTCAGCCTTCCATCTTTCCAAAGTTAGTACATTGGGGTTGGAGGGAGCGGAAATGTGTAGCCCTGCATAATTAAATTGTAAACCACCCAGGGAATGCTTTAAGCCCTATGGGGTGGCGGCATATAAACAGCACACAATGCTGAGAGCCCCCACAGCTTTGGTGAAGGTGGAGAACAGCTAGAATGGCAAAGCCCAAAGTGAGACCCAGAAGACTTCAGCCCTTTGCGACCATAGCCGGATTGGGTTCAGGCCCGGCCAACCTTCACCTTTTGTCTGTGCTCACCTTGAACACCTGCAGCTCCTCCAGCAGCAGCTCCTCCAAGTTTTGCCAGGTCTCCTTCGGCACAGAGACCACCTTCAGGACTGTCCCAATATCTGGCAGGGAGGTGAGACAAATCAGCACAAAGGCAGAGGTTGCAGGCAGATGGAGGCTTCCTGTCTGCTCAAGCAAACAGAGCAGGACTACGACTCTCATTTACACCCACCCAGTCTCCACAGAGATCTTCTCTCTCGGACCAGACCAGAGTCTGAAGCCGGGCCATTCAGACCACACCGAAAGGGGGCGAGGTCATCAAAAAAGAACTATGTTCCAGATATAGATTCTGGTCCCCACCCTGCCCAAACACAGAGGTACTGGGCTGACTAAGCTCTGAGGGCAAGCTGGTGGACCTCCAGATGTGTGGCTGGCCATGATGGATATTGTAGTCCAACATAACTAGAAGGTAGGGGAAACTGACCTACTTTGTAGAGCAACGGGCTTGATTTATTCAGATCCAATTATAGACTGTGTCAGGGTAAACTTGATAAACCACAAGGAATCCACAAGCAGGATTCAATCTTATGGTTTGTAATTTAGTAGAAGACCCAGGGCAGGGATTGAGACTGAGATGACAGCATTGGAAGAGAAGGTTAATCCTTTTCCCTTTTCATTTTCTTAGTCAAACTGTCTCCCAGAAACAGCTCCTGACCTTGCACAGAAATAAAGGTGCAGGTATGGATTTGAGTAGCTTACATTTTCCCCCATGGAAAAAGGGGGGAGACCCTTTTCCCTGGAGAAAATCCATGGTGGGAGGAAGGGCTTTCTGCATCTAGGATGCATGAGTGCACATATGTGTGGCATCATGAAGAAACACAGTGGCCAGGTTTGAACTGCAATGGTCAATGGAAAAGGCAGACAAATTGTAGGATGAAGCCAAAGTTAGGGGAACAGAAGAGTAAAAGGCCAGTTGCTTGGCAGGCCCGGCAAAGCCTTCTATTACAGTTAGGGGAACAGAAGAGTGAAAGGCCAGTTGTGACCATCAAGAGAAGCTTGGCAGGCCCGGCAAAGCCTTCTATTAAATCAGAAATTAAGCTACTCCTTATAGAAACTGACCAATCTCTTATTAAAGAATTTAACAGAATATTTCTTATTAAATATGGAAATGTAAGTCCCAGCAGCTGTAAGACGCTTCCTTCTCTTACCTGTCACATTAATATTTCTTTTACCCTCAAGGCTCAACATAGACTGAGCTGCATAAAGGAACTCAGAGCTATGGATCAACTTTTGACAGGCATGACCAAAGGGTCTCAACAGCGCACATGCTTCTGATCCTTTGAATTAGGAACATCCTTCTGCCTCCAGCTTCAGGGATGAGCTGGTGAGAACCTGGCTGGCTGGCTGGCTCTCTGGGCAGCATTCTCCTGTCAGGGGTGCAGCAGGCATACCTGTCCCAATGAAGAGGACATCATAGTGGCCATCAGCAGCTGCCACACGGTCCACAGCTATGTGGGTGAAGCTGTAGCCCACATTGGTTTGCATGAAGACAGGTCGCTGGCCGTGTGGCAGGACAGGGTTGTACATCAACGGGTGGTTGCGGGCAAACTGGATCACGTCATCTGGGAAGTCCTTGGTGGAACTGAAAGTGCCAAAGGTTTTGCTGGGACACTGTGAGGGTAAGAAGGAAGGGAAGTGAAAATGGGACAGAATGCCTAAGCATATCAAACCAGAATCCTAGAAAGGTGACTTTTCTGAACTACAGATCTTACTGTTGCCAGAATTCTGGGAGTTGTAGTTAAAAAAAGGTAATATTTCAAGGATATAGTCAAAACCATTTGCTCTTACAAATTCCTCATCATGGCCCTCCATGCATCCTGCCTAGAACATCCAACCACATCCCATCATTAACTCCCCTGTTCTCCGTGCAGCTCTCCTGATGCTCCTCCTGTTCGACCCATATACTTTTATTTACTAAAGTCCTGAATACCAGCAGAATCCCATAATCCAGATGCAGAAACCACCCTTTTTCTCCCAGCCTTCTTCAAACTCTTTACTGGCTCCTTATCTTAGAATGCTGTTCTCGTTCTACCCATCGTTTCTCCAAAGACATGGTTCCACGGATAGTCACGTATCTACAGGCTTCATAGGGGGAAAATACCTGGCTTCATTTCATGCTCCAGAGTCTGTGGCACGTACCATTCCTGGGCGGGGGTAAGGGACACGGCCTTGGTAAGACACCCACTGATAATTGGGCCCTTCCTTGTGAGCAAACGGCCCCAAGAAGGCCCTTCGGATGTCATTCATGTGGTACACGCAGACAGCAGAGCCTTTGAAAACAGTGCTGCAGAAGGAGAGCAAAAAAGAAGCGTCAACAGAAGGGCCAGGGAAACAAGCTGGAAGGCAGCAGTCACCAAACTGTGTCACCCCAACCTCCACCCTGCAATTCCCAGAGGGATTCCGGTCTAAAAACCAGACAGAACTTCTGCACCTGGGCCAGAAAAGGCACCCTGGAGAAATACCGTATTTTTCGCTCCATAAGACGCACCTCTCCATAAGACGCACCAAATTTTTAGAAGAAGAAAACAGGAAAAAAAATCTGTTTTCTTCTCCTAAAAATTGGTGAGCCTTATGGAGAGGTCTGTCTTATGGAACACAACCTAGGACCCTTTGGAGGCTCACCCAGCCCCCCCCCTGAAGGCCAGAGGGGGCAAAATCACCACCTTCTGGGGCTCTTTTGAGGTTTGGAAAGCTTCAGAAGAGCCCCAGAAGGTGGCAATTTCGCCCCCTCTAGCCTGGTGGGGGGGGCAGGGTGATTGAATTTGGCAGCACTGATGATCTTTTATGAGTCTAGCCATTACCTCTGCTCTGATTAACTGTTCCCTCCTTTAAAATTGGGCTGAAAACTAGTCTGCAAAGTGCACAAATTATCCTTTGCTTCCTTACCTCACCATCTGCAGCCTTGTGGCCACTGAAAATTATATCTGGAGATGTGACAGTGTTTGGTAAATGCCTCAGGCCTTCTGCTGACATTTCTTCACAGGAATAGGGGGGGGGAAGCAGCCCTTTACTGGACTAGCTTTTCTTCTACATTCTTAGCCCCCAGTTGGTAGGAAATGTCATTGGGACCCTAGGTTCCACTGAAGAAAATGGCACCAAAAGAGCCATTAAAGTTGTTGCTAAACTCTGAGGTATTTGAGAAGGAACTCATAATGACATTTGAGTATAGGCATTTTCTTTAAATGTGGTAAGTGTGTGTTTTGCTTAGGCCTCGTGTTTGTCCTTTTGTCACCTCTTGATTTCCT